GCCATGAGTCAGAGCTGTTGGCTCTGGCTCCTCCTCACGTACCTCTCCCAATTTCCCAAATGGTCCTGGCCCCCTGCCCTTATCTCGTCCCTCCCGGGGGCTGTTTGCAGAGAGAGGTATAAAGGGGCTGACCCAGCGGACAGCGAGGGTGCAGGGAGCCAGCGGACAAATCTGTGTGTCTGCCTCACTCACCACCCTTGCTCTGCACCATGGGGAAGGACAGGCTGCCCGGTGGCCTGAACATCTTCCTCCTGCTCCTCTTGCTCCTCCCTGGAGACACCTCGCCCACCACCGAACCGTAAGCTGCACATGAAGGGGCTCGTGCTGTCTTCTCGTTTCTTTCCTTCATCACCCTCGCAGCTCTGCCTATGCCCCTCAGTCCTGCCCTGCAGCCCCTCTGTTATTCCAGTTTCCTTGCCTGTGAGGGAGAGCTCAGAAAAGTGTTTCTCTTTTCTCTTCTTCTTTAAAGCCAGTTTGCTTCCCTTGGCAGCCACAGACTGTGCTTGTTCCCAAAGAGAGTCTGTGACCTAGATTCCTGACTGTCAGCACAGACCCTGGCAGTGGCACACTCTGCTGGAATATCCACCTGGGGCACTGCAAAGTAGCAACTTGGCTGCAACCTCGCCTCCATTGAGGGGCCTGAAGAGGGCGCGTGGCCAAGCTCATCCAGGAGCTGGACGGACTCAGTGTATCCCTTTGGCAGTGTCCACTGGCAGAGAGTTCCCCTGGAGCCCAGCATAGATTAGAGCATTTACCCTCCAATGCACACTCCCCTGTCCTGGTGTAGCACCCTCCTCGCTGGTGTACATGAGCAGGTGCAATTTACACTGCCCTGATTCAGCGGGCGATGGATCTAGGGTTGATAACTTTCTACTCGCACAAAACCGAACACCCTTGCCTGACCTCTGCCCCTCCTCTAAGGCCCCGCCCATGTCCGGCTCCATCTATGAGGCCCCGCCCTCCATTCACTCCGTCCCCCTCTTGTTCGCTGTCCGTACCCTCAATCACTCGCTCATATTAACCGGGCTTGCTCAGGGGGCCGGGGTGTAGGGAGGGGTAATGGCTCCTGCTAGGGATGCAGGGCCTGGCGTGGGGCCAGAAATAAAGGGTTCAGGGTGCGGGAAGGGACTCTAGGCCTGGATAGGGGGTTGGGGTGCGGGGGGGGGAGTGAGAGCTTCGGCTGGGGTGCGGTCTCTGATGTGGAGCCGGGGCTGAATGGTTCAGGTGCAGGAGGGGGCTCTGGACTGTGGTTGAGGCACGGGGTGGTGAAGGCTCTGGGTGGGGCTGGGCATGAGGGGTTTGTGGTGTAGGATGGTGCTCTTGGCTGGGGCTGAGGGGTTCAGAGTGCAGGAGGTAGCTCTGGGCTGGGGCAGGAGGTTGGGGCGGGGGCGATGCGGGCTTTGGGTGGGGCTGGGCGTGAGGGGTTTGGGATGTAGGAGGGTGCTCTGGGCTGGGATTGAGGGGTTCAAAGGGCAGGAGGAGGATCAGGGCTAGGGCAAGGCGTTGGGGCCCGGGATGGTATCAAGGGTGCAAGCGCCGGGCAGCGCTTATCTCAAGTAGCTCCCGGAAGCAGCAGTATGTCCCCCCTCTGGCTCCTACGCAGAGGCACGGCCAGGAGGCTCTGAGCGCTGCCCCATCCGCAGGCACCACCCCTCCAGTTCCCATTGGCCACGGTTCTGGGGTGGTGCTTGGGGTGGGGGCAGTGTGCGGAGCCCCGTGGCTTTGCGTAGGAGCAGGAGGGGGGCATGCTGGCTGCTTCCTGGGAGCCGTGTGGCGTGGAGGTTAACAGGGAGCCTGCCAGCCCCGCTGCGTGGCGCCGCCAACCAGACCGTCAATGCTAACCGGAGCCACCAGGATGCCTTTTCGATTGGGTGTTCTGGTCGAAAACTGGACACCTGGTCACTCTAGATGGATCTAGTCCCATAACTCCAATGTCAGATCTCTTAATCCAATGAACTCCATATTGTTTTGAATTGCCATCCTGCCAGAAATTCTGACATTTCAAAAATTGGTTTCATTGCAAATTGGAACACACAGTCCAAATTTTTCATGGAATGGAAATCCCAGAAAAATTTTATTCAGAAAATCTAAACACTACCTGTACTATAATATAAAATGTTGCATATCCTAATATATTATATTTAATATTCTATAACATTCATATAATTATATAAAAGTCCAAATAAAACATTTTTACTTTATTTAAATGGGAAAGTCAAAACAATTCATTTAGACATTTTCCCATTCAAAATGTCAAAATTGATACGCTCCTGCAAAATGTCTCGATTGTGATGAAACTGCATTTTCTGACAAAAAATGGTTCCGTCCAAATTCTTTACCCTAGCTCTGTTCCACTCTGAGCATGTAGTTTCATCTGGTCAGACTTGTCTGGATCCTGCACCTTTAAATGGAGAGACGACCCCTCTGTGCTGCAGAAGCACCTGCCATTTTGTGTTTGGTTGCATCCTACAGGAGAGGCCCACTATTCTCTCTCCATCTGTCTTACCAAGACCTGCCTTTTGTCCTGTCTCATTCTCTCGGTCTAAACTAAAGTTTGTTCTTGCTGAAAGGGCAGAGGAAGAACAGAACGTGGGGCACTGTCACCAAGTCTGTTCTGCTCTGTGAGACATTTTATGCAAATTTTAATGAAATAATTTGCATATTTGTGAATACTTTGCATATGAGCATAAATGTAAGCTCATGGTCGACAAACCCTGCCCCAAGCAGAGGGGAGGAGGGCTGGCCAAGGAGCTCAACAACACATGGCAGCTATGGGAGGTCAGTGCTGAAAGGTCTCTGGGGGCAGAGCTGCTGGGGCTGTTGTTACTGCTGGAAGCTACTGGAGTGGTAAGGCTGCTGGGGCTGGAACTCCTCGGATGCATTGGGCTGTACAGATTGAGGGGGGCTGGGGGTTTGGCGGCCAATATCAGACCCCTCACACTGTGCTTTTGCCCCAGCCAACTTCTGCAGCCTCTGCCATCACCTCCAGGCTGCTTGCTCTGGTCCAGCAGAGGGAGAGGAGGCGCCTGGCTGCCTGATCAGCAAATGCCACAGCTGCCTCTAGCAGCCATAAGGTGCAATTGCAGGAAACAGCCTGCTGCCTTCTTGCAGCTCAGCCCTTGATCTCTATTCTATGTAGGTTCTCATACTGTGCTAATCACTGTAGTACCAGCGAGCCTGCCACTAGAGTGTTAAGCAACACGACTGTCACGTGTTGTTCCTTCTGTCATCCTCACCCCAGAGAGAGAAGCGTGTGCCGTGCAGAGTCTGGCAGAGTGGGTGTCAAATGCTACCAGAGCAGAAGGGCTGATTTCAGGCCCCCTTTGCACTCACTCTGCACCAGGTGCCAGGCGGGGGAGAATCAGCCCCCGGCCTTTATTGGCAGAGATTGAAGGTAGAGAGAAAATCACTCAGGGCTTGATCCAAAGCCCACTGAGGGGAATGGAAAGAGTCCTATTGACTTCCATGGGCTTTGGCTCAGGCCGAACAAAGGGCGAAGTGGAATTTAATCAGAGCCAGGTTAAGGCTACTCCTACCTAACTCTGTCATTTTGAAATCTTGGCTAAGCAAGATGAACAGCCCCCCGGCAGAAATCTGGGTGTCCCAGGGAGCTTCACACTGCGGCACGTCCAGCCTCCCAGCAGTGAGGCTCTGCCAGCGTCTCTGCTCTGAGTCAGCAGGCTGCAGCCATGGCTGGTGAGATCTCCTTCTGTAGTAGGGTTGCCGGGCATCTGGTTTTTGACCAGAATGCCTGCTTGAAAAGGGACCCTGGCGGCTCCGGTCAGCACTGCTGACTGGGCTGTTAAAAGTCTGGTTGGCCACCCACAGCAGGGCAGGCAGGGTGCCTGCCTGGCTCTGCGAAACGCCCAGAAAGCTTCTGGCATCTCCCTCTGACTCCTAGGCTTAGGGGTGGCCAGGGGAGCTCCACGCACTGCTTCCATCCCTCCCCCTAGCGCCTGATCTGCATCTTCCATTGGCCGGGAACCGCGGCCAATGGGAACTGCGGAGGCGGCGCCTGCATGCAGGGGCAGTGCGGAGACTGCAGAGCTGCCTGGTCGCGCCTCTGCCTAGGAGCCAGACATGCTGGCAGCTTCCTGGGAGCCGCCTGAGGTAAGCGTCGCCCGGAGCCTGCATTCCAAACCCCCTCCCACATCCCAACCCGCTGCCCTAGCCCTGAGCCCCCTCCTGCACCCCAAAACCCTCATTCCCAATCCCACCCCAAAGCCCGCACCCCCAGCTGGAGACCTCATCCCCTACCGCACCCCAATCCCCTGCCCCAGCCCCAGAGTTCCCTCCCGCACCCTGAACGCCTCAACTCTGCCCCCACCCCAGAGCCCACACCCCCAGCCGGAGCCCTCACCCCACTCCCGCACCCCAAGCCCCTCCCCCTGCCTGGTGAAAATCAGCGAAGGTCGGGGAGAGCAAGAGATGGAGGGAGGGGGGGATGGAGTGAGCAGGGGCGGGGCCTCAGGGAAGGGGCGTGGTAGGGGCAGAGTCTCGGAGAAAGGGCGGGGTACGGGGCATGGCAAGGGTGTTAGCTTTTCTGGCAACCCTATTCTGTAGCCCAAATCACTCTGTTGTTGTCATTGCTGGTGAGGGGTGAGCCAAGCTGAGTAAAGTCCTCATTAACATTTGAACCTGTAAGCGAGCACTTTTCATCCAAAGATCTCCTGGCACATTGAAGGGGGGGGGGTGTAAGCAGCATCTTCAGGATCCCCATATCAGAAATGGGGAAACTGAGGCACGGAGCAGTGACGCCCAGTAGCACACAGCATTTTACTGACAGACCCAGGAATAGCAATGAGTTCTCCGGCCAAAGCCCTGTCCACTAGGCCACGCTGCCCCTTCAGCACAATGGCCATTCCCTACAGTCAGATGTCAGCGCACACACAGCCATCCGTACATTTGTATCTCTCCATTACTGAGGGCAGCAGGTGACACACCTAGATCGACAGACAGCTAGAGAGGAGATTAGATTAAAAGCCCTGGTCCACACTCCTGTGTAACTGCCTGCCAGTCTCCATGGAGGTACAACAAGCATTTCATCTGAGCTCCCTCCCCCCTGTTCACACAATACAGCAAGGGGTTGTGGGATACACAAACCTTAATTAACAGCCTGGAACTTTTCAAGCCATCCCCACTCCCTGCTGGGAGCCTGAACAAACAGCCCTTGGACAGCAATCGCTGTTAGCACAGAACTAGTTCCTTTGCTCCAGGTGGTGTCCTAGGGTCCTGGCTGACTGAGCAGACTGGCTAGTATGTTACAAAAGCAAAATGAAATTCACCATCCTGTAAGTACAAATTACAGTGCGGATGGATGGTCGGGGATTCGGCTGCCACACTAACCCATGCCCTTTCATCAGTACCTTCTCCATTCCCCATCCCCGCCTCTCTGACCTGTGCCCTTCCCCTTCTCAGGCAGTACATGGTGCTAGTGCCCTTTCTGATCCACACCAACGGTCCTGAAAAGGTCTGTATCCAGCTGACCCACCTGAATGAGTCTGTGACGCTGAGCGCCACGCTGGAATACGCAGGGGAGAACAGGAGCCTGATCGCAGACGTGGTGTCGGAGAAGGACGTGTTCAAGTGCGTCCCGTTCACAGTGAGTATCTGACCCCCACAGGGTTTATTGCCTGAGTCTGTAAGATAGTGACAGCCTGGGACTAACCCCCGCAAGGCCTGGCAGTGCTGTGGGTGACTCATTAGGAGTGATCTTCAGTCAGTGCTGAGCTCAGTGCCCGGCACGATGCTGGGAGAGGCTGTGCTACAGGCTGTGGTGTGGCTGGCTTTGTTGGGTGGTTTTCTCTCTGAGTCAGTGCTGACCTTGCGGCTGAGGACTGGTCTCCCATTTCTCAGGGGGCTCCACAAGTCTCTGAGTGAGACCGGAAAGAAAGCCATGGAAGGAGAAGGTTAGAGAACTTCCTCGAGACCATTGATGTCCATGAGCTCATCTTGTGCCTCTCCCGAGGGCCAGTTCAGGGTTTCTCCCTACAGCTCTCAAGGCTGGCTGGCGGGACAGTAGAAGAAAATGGACCCAGCCCAGCAGTAATTAATCAAATGTAGCTTCCCATTTTCCTCCATCACTGGGATCCACAGCTGGGGGGACACGATCACAGTCCATCAATCCCTTTGAGGAAGGAGCATAACGAGGGAAGGGAAATGTACCACTCCAGCCTCCAAGGGCTCAGTGCAGAGGGGAGCGTCTCTAAGGCAGCGGCTCTTTTGCTGTTCTCCAGGTTCCAAAGTCCAGCAGCTCATCAGCAGCGTTTCTCACGGTGCTGGTGAAGGGGCCGACGCTGGAGTTCAGGAGCCGGAAATCGGTGCTGGTCAAGAACTCAGAGAGCCTGGTCTTTGTCCAGACGGACAAACCCATCTACAAACCCGGACAAACAGGTACAGGGAATCAGGTGGGGAATTATATACAGAGCAGGAAATCCTCCCTGCCTCCCCAGAGACCCCACAACTCGTCACCAAGTTAGTTCAGCTGGCAGTAAACCTGCCTTCCCACCTCCTCCCCACTAGTCACAAAGCTGGGGAAGTGTGGTGCATGCATCCAACTCTGCATGTGTCCATGGGTCATTGCATCAGGGCCAGGCACAGACACAGCAGCTGCCTCAATGACTGATGGTCCCTGGGTGAGCGGCTGCAGGTATAACAGTGAAAATCTCTTCTTCTCTCTATCTTGCCCCCTGCAGTTCTGTTTCGGATCGTCTCTCTGGACGAAGACTTCCGTCCCCTGAATGAGAAGGTAGGTCTGATCGCTGGTCAGTTTCCATGGCTGACTTGGTGAGTGCTGATGATGACCCCTTTAAAGTCCTTTGTGATTCCTGGGGAACTTATTTGTATTAACATCCATCTAGAGCCGTAAAAGCGACTCTGTAAATTAAATGATCCCATCTGACTCCCCACATCTTCTACGTGGGGAGCAGTTTCTGCCGTGATTTACACTCCATTCTACTTCATTGACAGAGTGTACATAGGACAGAATATGTCTCTTTATGGCACAATATGAATTATTATACTAGATTACAATATTGTAAAGCTGGCTAGTGTGTAAATGCACCACTGCCCTCTACTGGTTGGAATCTGAAATGCACAATTCTGTATCTTAAGGCTACTACTTTGTTGCAGAGGCCACAGAAATTGTGAATTTCAATAAAATCCATGAAATCTTGGACATGGCTGTAAAAACTCATTTGATTAGCCCCCAAACCAAGTGGTGTTGCGACCTGGCACATGGGAATGCAGCCCCACTCGATTTTGGCCCTTCTGACCCTCCTTTTCCATCTGTAGAGGGGTGGACGGGCCAAACCTGAGCGGCACTGTGACCCCATGCACCAGGTCCCAATGTCCAAAATGGGGAGTCGGGCTCGGTGCTGCAGGACAGGAGCTGCCGCTGCAGGGTGAACACAGCATGCCTCCCTCACTGCTCTGGGCCTCCCCTTTCAGCACCCTCACCATACTCTTTGCATGTTGATGTAGTGCAAACTATATTATATGGTGAACTTGCCATAACTTACCGTTTCCCCCCCCCACACCACTGCTGTGAAATTTACTAAAAATTTCTGTGCCAAAATCGTAGCCTTAGCCATAGGCCTTATGCTGCGGACAGCTAACATAGATTCTTCTTTGGATTCCATGGCTGAGGCCTGGGCAGGTGGGTCAGAGTTCTGTGCCTTCTGCTGTTGCCATGAGTTTTGAAAGGCCATGGTGTATGGTAGAGTGACAGTCATGACATCAGAGATGGTCACACATTTGCTATAATGTGGAACCCCACAATGTTTTTCCAGAGTCACTGTTCAGAGACTAAATCCCTCTGAAGTGACTTTATGGACAGCTACTAAAATAGCCGATAATTCTGGCTTCCAAATGGGATCCTCTCCACCAGCAGCCCAGCTACAGAGTAGACTATGGGGTTACCTCCTGTCTGCTTCCTGCCTCTGTCATTACATTTGATCAATAGGCTGGCATGTGAGGAAATACCCCAAGAGGAAGTAGGGTTAAAGAAATGTTTAGATGGGATGATCCTTGCTCTGAGATACTGGGCCAGATTCCGATCTCATTTGTACCACTCTCAATCTGGAACAACTCCACTGACTTCATGGAAACTGGGGTTGATGTGAGATCCTAGATTGATGAGTGCATTAACTCACAGTAACTAACAGCAGTTACTGGGGACAAAATTTGGCCAGTGGGGCTAAGCTGATTCTGAGATTATCTTGGCAAAGATCTTGGGGAGGATGTTCATCTTTGCCCTGGAGCAGGGAATGGAAATTGTCCTGTTAGGATCATGTTGCCAGAAGTAAGTAAACTGGGAAAAGTCCAGAGGAGACCAAAAAATGAGAAGAGGTTTCAAAAACCTGATCTGTAAGGAAAGGTTGAAAGAATTGGGCCTGTTTAGTCTAGAGAAGAGACGGCTGAGGGGGAACCTGACAATAATAATCAGATATGTAAAATGTTGTTATAAAGGAGACAGTGATCGGTTGTTCTCTATATCCAAGAAGTAATCAATTTAGTTGGCAACAAAGGAGATTTAGACTGTAAAGTAGGAAAATCTTTCTAACTCTAAGGATAGTTATGCACTGGAACCAGGGCCGGCTCCAGGATTTTGGCCACCCCAATCAGCCAAAAAAAAAAAAGCCGCGATCGCAATCGCGATCTGCAGTGGGAATTCGGCGGGAGGTCCTTTGCTCCTAGCGGGAGTGAGGGACCGTCCGCCGAATTGCCGCCGAATACCTGGACGTGCCGCCCCTCTCTGGAGCGGCCGCCCCAAGCACCTGCTTGCCAGGCTGGTGCCTGGAGCCGGCCCTGACTGGAACAGGTTACCAAGGGAGGTTGTGGAATCCCCATCACTGGAAGTTTGTAAGAACAGGTTGGACAAACAACTGTCAGGGATGGTCTAGGTTAACTTGGTCCTGCCTCAGCACAGGGAATGGACTAGATGATCTCTGGAGGTCCCTTCCTGCCCTACATTTCCGGGATTCTATAATTCTGTCCTACATGATAAATTGCTCACAGTTGGTGGAGCTAAGAACCTCCCTCTATCTTCTGTGTTACATATGAAAAATCATAATCCTCTGTTTGTGGCATCCTTACGGGCCTTCTGAATATAGGGAACAGGACTTTGGGGCAGAGGGAATGAGTAGCAGGGCAGATGAATCTCCAGAGGCAAAAGATGATCACTGTTCTGAAGGTAAAGGAGCAGGCTAGTGTAACAGGGAGATTCTGATCACTTCATCTGATCACAAGGAAACGTAAAACACTACCGGAGAAGTTAGTGCTTTGAACAGAATTGCAAAGAATAACTATCAAAGAAGAAACCGTTGGTTTCAACATGCAGAGTAAGACGGGAATAACTGGCTTCTCCAGTGCTTAATTTGTAATGAAAGAGGTGCTGGGGGCTCAAGCAATTTTTTTTTACTTTCGTAAGTTATGCAGCAAGCCCGGAGGTGCTGGGGCTATTTACTGCCAAGCCCGGAGGTGCCGGGGCTCAGCCCTGGTACAAATTAAGCACTGGCCTCTCCATTTGATAAGACTGGAAATCAGAGACTTTCAGTGGTGGCTTTAGGAACATCCTAAGGCCCTGATTCCCCAGTCTCATGCACCTTGCGGCATCATTAACACCAGAGTAAAGTGGGCATAAAACGTTGCCAAATGAGGCTGGTTCTGTGTGCCCCACTTTCCACTGGTGTGAGTGACAGCACCGGGGTGGGCCAGCAGTGAGTCAGGCCCTGAGGAGATCACTTCTGTCTTGTGGGAAGGCATGTGACTGGGCCTCAAGACCCCTATACCTGGCTCTGTCACACCTTCCTGCACATCATACACTGTGATCTAGCTGACCCGCCTCCACCATCTCACTGCGAGTTTGCAGGAGCAGGGGACCCCGAGGAGACATCCCAGCAACAGGCCCCGCCTGATGCTGCAGAGCAGGACACAGAGAATTGAGTTGCCACCTGAAAGCCCTGGAAACCAGCAACTTTCCAAAAGGCTACACGCTAAGGGGCACATTTCCAAAGTGCCTCAGTGACTTAGAAACCCAAGTCCCATTTTCAGAAGTGACTTGGGCACTTTGGGCCAGATTGCCTAAGGGATTTAGGTGCCTAAAGATGCAGGTAGGCACCTAGTGGATTTTCAGAAGCACCTAGGAGGGTTAGGAGCCGAACTCCCATTGGCTGTGGTGGGAACTAGGTACCTCAGCTTTTGGAAACTCCTCTAGGTACCTGTCTGCATTGTTAGGCACCTAAACACCTTTACAGATCTGCCCCCAAGTCTCACTGAAAGTCAGTTCTAAGCCACAGAACTGCAAAGGTACGTAGGTGCCTGACTCCCATTCAAATCAATGGGAGTTAGATACACAAGTCCCTTTGTGGATGTGGCCTAAAGTGCCTAAATCACTTTTGAAAAAGGCTGCTGTGATAAATGAAGGGGGGGCAGGGAGCTCCCTTTTATGGACACCCAGCCAGCCAGTTAGCTACAAAATCCCTGTTAGTAGCTGTTCTCTACTTGCTTTACCTGTAAAGGGTTAAAAAAGCCCATAGGTAAAAGGAAGGGAGTGGGCACCTGATCAAAAGAGCCAATGGGAAGGCTAGAACTTTTTAAAATTGGGGGAAAAAATTCCTTTTGTCTGTCTGTTGTTGTTCTCCGGAGAGAGGAGACACAGAGCAGCAATGCTGTAAGAAGCTTTAAATCATCAAATCATACCTCGAAACTACTTATCTGAAACCCCAGATATGTAGGTAGATCAGGGAATGTCTAGGAAGACACAATTAGATTTATTTCTTTATGGCTTGTGGACTCCTCTGTGCTAACCCCAGGTGCTTTTGTTTTGCTTGTAACCTTGAAGCTGGACCTCAAGAAAACCATTCTTGATGCTTAATTATTATATTTGCTCTTTTTAAAATCTAGCAGTAGCCTATATTCCAGATGTATTTTCTTTCTTTTCGTTTTCTAATAAAATTTACGTTTTTTAAGAACAGGATTGGGTTTTTGTGTCCTAAGAGGTTTGTGCATATATTATTTAATTAGCTGGTGGCAACAGCTGATTTCCTTTGTTTTCTTTCTCAGCTCTTCTCCGGACGGCAGTGAAAGGGCTTGAGGGTACCTCACAGGGAGGAATTCCCAAGTGTGACTTCCTGGGTTCAAAGGGGTTTTTTGCATTTGGGTGGTAGCAGCATCTACCCATCCAAGGTCACAGAGAAGTTATAACCTTGGCAGTTTACTACCAGCCTGGAGTAGCCAGTATTAATTTTTAGAATTCTTGCAGGCCCCCACCTTCTGCAGTCAAAGTGCCAGAGTGGGGAATCAGTCTTGACAGCTCCTAAGTCATTTGGGTGGTTTTAAAATGTTTACCCCGAGTCCTCTAAATGCAAAACAAAGTGTTTAATTTTACAGCTGTGTTAAACTGACCAGTTCAGGCTCTAAAACATTAGAAGGCCCCGCTGGAGTTTCTCATTGAGTAACAGAGAGCAAGGGGCAGAGGGAAATGCAGAGGAGAGACGCAGAAGTCCCCTGAACAGGGTAAATGAGCTCAGTGCACGTCTGACCTCTATTTCTAACTCTGCTTCTCCCCGTTTTCCCCACAGTTTCCATTGGCCTTCATCAAGGTAAGTGGCCCATTGATTTTTACTCTCACAGCCGCTAGCTGAAAGCTGGGGCTGCTGTGGGGATGGGGAGACTCCCGTGCTCCACAGCAGAGGGGGGCTGTAGTGTGGTGTTCATTGTGAATGGGTAGTGCGGCCACTAGGGGGCTCAGAGCAAGGAAGTAAGGGTGAGTCTGTGTGAACAGGAAATAGAGTCCTGCATTCACCCCACCCACCCTCGGGGCTGGGTCTCTGGCATCTCAGCATAGAGGTGCCTTATACTGACATAGCTCATTCCCCTTCCCGTACAGAAATAAGCTAGACTGGTCAAAGGCACCTTTATCCTGGTATAACTGTGTCCACACTGGGGGGATTGAACTGGTGTCACTACACCAGTATAGCTCAAGGAGTACAACTTTTATATGTAGACGGGCCTTATGTTTATTATTTCTGCCTCTTTTTCCATTAGAAGTTCAGATCTTGTCCACCCTGGAAGTCTCTGTGGGCACAAGAGAACTAGGGAAGTGATGATATGTTAAGAGTCCATGGCGGGAAAACTGGACGCCTCAGATGGGAAGGGATCTTTAGAACGCTAATATTATTTAGGGTTGTTTGTTTTGTTTTTGTGGCCAGCTGTTTAATTCCAATGATTAACAAACAGTTGGGATAAAGGCTGTCTCTGTTAAGACAGGGTGCCCTAGATAGATGACTGTGGTGGGACTCAGGAGACCTGGGTTCTATTCCTAACTCTCCCACCCTTCTACTGGTGACTTTAGGAAGTGAGTTCACTTCTCTCTACCTCAGTTTCCCCAGATGTGAAACAAGGATAATGATTCTGACCTCCTTTGTAAAGCGGGTTGAGGTCTATCGATTTTTGCTAGGTATTTTTTTTTACTATAATTGTTTCCAACTCCCACCCCTTCAGTTAAGATGTGGCCGCTCACAATAAATACCTCTGAGATCTGGTGGGAAACCAGGAGAGACCAGATGTGGCATTCCTGCTATTTCTGAGGTTAAAACAACAAGCAAGGGGCAAAAACACACTTTTTTTCTTTTCATTTGGAAAAAGCTTTCAGGCCTTCTGTCTAAATCCATCATAAACATGGCAAAGGCAGCATAAGCCTAATTATAAACATTCTTTGCCAGCCTCCTCTGAGCCACATAGTCATGTCATCCCCTGATCCGCATCAGATTGGGCTCCCCGCTTTTCACTTGACTTAAATGTGGGGCCAACTCTCAGTAACTGCGACAGCGCAGTGGGACTTGTCCGCTGAAGGTCCTTTCACCCATTCTGCCTTCGGTGTCACCTAGTAGGGGCTCTTGGAGACAGGGCCTGCTCTCTCCCCGTCAGCCATGAGAGGTCACTCACATCCCCTGTCACTTGGCTCAGGGATAAATTCTGAATGAAATAAATCCTCTCCAGTCAGCCAGTTACCTGGGGCTATCTGAAGTAAATAGACTTTTGATGGTAGCCAAGATACAGGGGAGAAAACGGATAGAAAATGAAAGAGTGTGAACATTAAGCATGTTCCTGAGCGGTCTGGAAAGGGCACATCAAACTATATATCGCTTTTAGTTTAATCTCTTTGATGGTTTCTACTAGAGTTGGGCCTGAGCTGCAGAATTTACAACCAGGTTAGAATCTGGTCACGTCAGACCTGGTTTGGTCCATTGCTTTGGCCTGTTAATAATCAATTAGTAATTAATACTACTCAGCTTTTACAGAGATGAGGTTTCAGATCCAGTCTCCGGACCTGCCTTCAAATTTGCCCAAAACCATACTCAGGCCCTTGTCTAATTTATTCAGATTGGCCCCCCCATTTCCCACCCCCCATACATATTCTGCATTGGGTAGCAGCCTAAAACAGCAACATATTTAAGCCCAGATGAGCATTTCCATAGCCCATTGCCTTCCACATACCTGCATGGGGAGGGTTTTCTCAGCCCCAGAGGTAACTTGAGTATTTCAATCCTCAGCCAGAGAAGTTGCCAATTCTCAAACTGCAAATAGAACATTCAAGCTCCCAGGCACAGAGAAACTCACCGCATCCTGCGTCTGTGCATTGGTCTCTTAGCCTTGCTCTCTCCCATCCTCCTTGCCCACTCCATGCGGTCGTGGGCATGTTGATCGGGTGGGCAGACAACGGAATAGATTCAGCGCTGGTATCTGGCTGTTTCATCACACGCTGATTGCACAGGACTTGACTGGTTAATCCTTACAGGCTACTGGGAAAGTACAGAGCCAGCCACCAGGTGCCCTAACCTCAGCTATAGAAGAGGGGGATGATCGTATATATCCTGTATCTCTGCCGAACGTTGGACTGCAACTGCCCTGCTCTGCAGCCTCGTGCCGTGTAGACACCCTGCCTAGAAATGACCTTGTGCTCTCCTCACCTCTAGGACCCACAGAAGAACCGTGTGTACCAGTGGCGAGAGGTGGAGTTAAATGGGGGCCTCACCCAGCTCTCCTTCCCCCTCACCTCCGAGCCCATCCAAGGCACCTACAACGTGGTGGTGCAGAAGGAGTCGGGGACCAAACTCAAACACTCCTTTACTGTGGAGGAATATGGTAAGGAAGGGTCCGACTCGTGCTGGGGTGGGGGTGTTGGAAGCAGGAGCAACAGTCTGGGATTCATCCATTCCAGGCACAAAAATCCAGTTCAGGATTGTCTGGGGTGAAGATGAGTGAAGAGTGATCTGAGGAATGGGCCAGGAAAACACTGGAGGCTTTAAGGGATCAGGATCTGAGCCCCCATCCAGTGGTGTGTAGGTTTCTCCTCAGCACTTGAACTGCCAGGGTCACTGTTCACTGTAAGCCTGGGAGTATCTGGATCTGAATACAAAGGCCTATTCCTCGGGCCTACTGGATTTGGGCTGTGATTCCAGCCTCAGTACAATGCAGCTTTATTTTTGTGTAGGGTCTTTCCTACCAGTTGTGTGCAGTATATGGTACGGATGCAGAACAAACTATGTGCATGCTGCATTACAGTGGCACAGTTTGCTCCCCCTGTTCTCTGCCAATGAAACTGGCTTAACTCACCTCTCCTGTCTACCCTTCTCCCACTCGGGTCTTCACACCTTTGTCCTTGCGGCCCCTGACACCCAGAACATCTTCAAATGTTCAAAATAAATAAATAAAGACACTTTGCTTGGAGACCAAGCCTGGAAAACATCAGCCCCAAAGGACAATCTTTTGGAAGGTTTATGAGGAAAGGAAAATGAGGCCAGCAGGAGTGGTAGATTCTCAGAGAACCCATTTTGCAACCTTAATTATAGTGGTTGCCACTAATCACCCAAGGAGAGAGAAATTACAGCTCTGTCTAGTCTAGGGAAATGTACCATTCCAGCCCCCACCCCGACCACTTGTGAATCGTCCCACAGAGATGCTCCAGCCACTTACAAGCATTCCAAGAGCTTCCTCTCAGCAAGCCTAAGAACCAGCTCATTCTGAATGGGTTAGTAACAGTGGCTCCACTACTCCTCTCGCTGCTGTCCGACAGGGCATTCTGAAACTTCCCAGAATCCACTGCTTCTGGGGTCTGTGCTGGGAACTGCGGGATAGGTACCACATGGTGTCGCAACTGAAGGGCTTTAAAGCAGTGCTCTTGTAGGGCAAACCCGCAGAGCTCCGAACACCAGTCAGCATGGCAGTGCGGGCACAGTGACCAGCCTGTGCTCCAACTGGGCCGATCTCACTGGTTCCAGTGCTCCAGTGTGACCTGGCTCTGGACAGACTGTCACCTCCTTGCTTGGGATGCCTCTGCATGTGCCACTCCAAGCCATGCTGGCTTTTGCCTGAGCCTTATACCTACAGCAGCTCTTATTGAGTTTGCTCTCCAGTCTTCCCCCCACCCCCACCACTATCTTTCTCCCATTATTACCCCTCATTCAGTTAGTTCAGAACTGCTGAGAAAATTCACTTTGGGGCTGAAACTTGACAGTCTAGTGCCCAGCCAGGAGGCGAATGCAGTCTGTGAGCTCAGCCAGCAGGAAACAATATTTGCTTTTACCGTGTTATGAAACAGCTTTTATCCGACTCTTTTCACGCAGGGATAAGTTTAAAATGGCTGAACTTTCGGGCCAGGTTCCCTGGTGCAGTCCGTCTGCTTTGTACCACTCCAGGGACGCAAAGTAACCGGGCTTATGGCTGCTTTGCTTCACTGGAGCAGCACAGGAGCCAGAGCACACAGTGAATGTGGCCCTTTAAATCTGGTGAGTGACGATGGTGCACTGGGGAGTCGGGCCCTCACTAGGTATCACTTGCGTAGCATAGTTTGGAATACAGCCTCTAAAGCAACGACAGCCCGGCGGTCGGGGTTGGGCAAGGGGAGCAAAGGGGAGGGGAGCAGGGTAACGGTGTCTTTCTCTTCAGTTCCACAGTCCCTGGCCAGATCCTCAGCTGGTGTAAGCTGGCACAGCTGCTCTGACAGCCATGGAGCTGTGGTGATTTATAGCAGGCTGAGAATCTGGCAACATGCCTTGGGGATGGAAGGGGGAGAGGCTGTGTCTGTCACTCAGTGGGGAAATGACAGTGATGTACACATGTTCCCTCTGCTCTGCTCAACGTCTGGCCCTTCTCTCCCCCTCAGTGCTGCCCAAGTACGAGGTGTCGGTGAAGCTGCCCAAGAAAATCACCATCCAGGATGAGGAGCTGAAAGTGGCAGTCTGTGGTCTGTGAGTCGCTGGGTTTGAGTCACCGTTCTTTGTGCTCGTCCACCATTGCCTTCCCTCTGCTACCCCAGAAACCAGAGCTGGAGAAGGCCCCTTGGGTCACTTTCTCTCCATCCTCAGGGGCCCTGGGCAGGATTGTTCCTACTGTCTATTCTGCACCCAGCCCAAGCTTTAAATATCCCAAGAAATGGGGCTCCTCCCCCTGCCCCAGGAAACGATGTCTCAGCCTCATACAGCTCCCTCTCAGAAAGGCTTTCTCCATTATTCAACCCAAATTTCCCCTTTCTTAGCATCCTTCCATCCTTCCTAATCAGACCCCCAAGTGCCTCCTTAAATAACCCCGGCCCCCCCTTGGTGATGCCTCCTTTAGACACTTGTAGGCAGAAATTACGTCCCTACTTAGACATCCCGTAACCAGACTCGCCAGATTTAACTCTTCCTTCCCTCCTCCTAAATCCCTCCCTCCAGCTCCCTGCTCATATTTCTTGCTCTTACTCATAGACTCATAGACTTTAAGGTCAGAAGGGACCAATATGGTCATCTAGTCTGACCCCCTGCATGATGCAGGCCACAAAAGCTGACCCCCCCACTTTCCCTTAACTCTGCTGTTGAAGTCTCCAGATCGTGATCTAAAGACTTCAAGTCGCAGAGAATCTTCCAGCTTGTGACCCCTGCCCTATGCTGCGGAGGAAGGCGAAAAACCTCCAGGGCCACTGCCAATCTACCCTGGAGGAAAATTCCTTCCCGACCCCAAATATGGCGATCAGCAGAACCCCGAGCATACAGGCAAGATTCTCTAGCCAGACCCTCATTTTACCAGCGATGGCTGTTATTGCCTAATTGATTAGAATCACGTAATCCCATCAAACCATTCCCTCCATAAACTTATCTAGCCTAATCTTGAAGCCAGAGAGGTCTTTCGCCCCCACCGTTTCCCTCGGAAGGCTGTTCCAAAATTTCACCCCTCTGACGGTTAGAAACCTTCGTCTAATTTCAAGCCTAAATTTCCCCACGGCCAGTTTATATCCATTCGTTCTCGTGTCCACATTAGCACTGAGCTGAAATAATTCCTCTCCCTCCCTGGTATTTATCCCTTTGATATATTTAAAGAGAGCAATCATGTCCCCCCTCAGCCTTCTTTTGGTTAGGCTAAACAAACCAAGCTCCTCGAGTCTCCTTTCATAGGAAAGGTTTTCCATTCCCCGGATCATCCTAGTTGCCCTTCTCTGTACCCGTTCCAGTTTGAGTTCATCCCTTTTAAACATAGGAGACCAGAACTGCACACAGTACTCCAAGTGAGGTCTCACCAGCGCCTTGTATAACGGAAGCAGCACCTCTCTGTCCCTACTAGAAATACCTCGCCTTATGCATCCCAAGATCGCATTAGCCTTTTTCACAGCCACGTCGCATTGCCGACTCATAGTCATCCTGCGATCAACCAGGACTCCGAGGTCCTTCTCCTCCTCCGTCACTTCTAACCTATGCGTCCCTAGCTTATAACTGAAATTCTTATTAGTCATCCCTAAATGCATCACCTTACACTTCTCACTATTAAATCTCATCCTATTACTATTACTCCAATTTACAAGGTCATCCAAGTCTCCCTGCAGAATATCCCGATCCATCTCCGAGTTGGCAATGCCTCCCAACTTTGTGTCATCTGCAAACTTTATCAGCCCACTCCTACATTCGGTTCCGAGGTCAGTAACGAATAGATTAAATAAAATCGGACCCAGAACCGAACCTTGAGGAACCCCACTGGTGACCTCCCTCCAATCTGACAGTTCACCTTTCAGTACTACCCGCTGCAGTCTCCCCTTTAACCAGTTCCTTATCCACCTCTGGATTTTCCTATCGATCCCCATCCTATCCAATTTAACCAACAATTCCTCATGCGGAACCGTATCAAACGCTTTACTAAAATCGAGGTATATTAGATCCACCGCATTTCCTTTATCTAGAAGGTCTGTTACCTTCTCAAAGAAGGAGATCAGGTTGGTTTGGCACGACCTGCCTTTCGTAAACCCATGTTGTAATTTGTCCCAATTGCCATTCACCTCAAGGTCCTTAACTACTTTCTCCTTCAAAATTTTTTCCAAGACCTTACATACTACAGAAGTTAAACTAACAGGCCTGTAGTTACCCGGGTCACTTTTTTTCCCCTTCTTGAAAATAGGAACCACATTAGCTATTCTCCAGTCCAACGGTACCACCCCCGAGTTTACAGATTCATTAAAAATTGTCGCCAAGGGGCTCGCAATTTCTCGCGCCAGTTCCTTCAATATTCTAGGATGAAGATCATCCGGTCCGCCCGATTTAGTCCCGTTTAGCTGGTCAAGTTTGGCCTCCACCTCTGATACTGTAATGTCTATCCCCCCTCCTCTATTCCCCTCTGTCCTACTCCCTCTATTCCTAAACCCTTCATTAGCCTTATTAAAGACCGAAGCAAAATATTCATTTAGATATTGTGCCATGCCTAGATTATTCTTAATTTCCACTCCATCCACATTCTTCAGCGGTCCCACTTCCTCTTTCTTTGTTTTCTTCCTATTTATATGACTATAAAACCTCTTACTATTGGATTTAATTCCCCTCGCAAGGTCCAACTCTACACGGCTTTTGGCCTTTCTCACCGCATCCCTACATGCTCTAAACTCACTAAGGTAGGTTTCCTTGCTGATCCCTCCCTTCTTCCATTCTCTGTACGCTTTCTGTTTTTTCTTAATCGCCCCTTTGAGACTCCCGCTCATCCAGCTAGGTCTAAATCTCCTGCCCACTAACCGTTTTCCCTTTCTCGGGATACAGGCCTCAGACAACTCATGCAACTTCTGCTTGAAATAATTCCAGGCGTCATCTGCCTTTAGATCCCTAAGTATGTTAGCCCAATCCACTTCCCTAAGTAGTTGCCTTAATTTATTAAAGTTGGCCTTTTTGAAATTGTAAACCTTAGTTACAGTATCATTTCTGTTAATCCTTCCATTTAGTTTAAACCGAATTAGCTCATGGTCACTTGAGCCAAGGTTGTCCCCTACAACCATTTCTTCAACGAGGTCCTCACTACTCACCAGCACTAAATCTAAAATGGCATCCCCCTCTGTCGGTTCCGTTACTACTTGATGAAGGAATTCATCTGCTAGCACGTCTAAGAACATCTGAGCCCTATTATTGTTACTAGCATTTGTTACCCAATCTATATCTGGGAAGTTAAAGTCCCCCATGATGACACAGTTCTTATCAGTTTTTACTTCCCTAAAAACATTAAGTAGTTCTCTGTCTGCCTCCAGGCTATACCCCGGCGGTCTATAGCACACCCCAAGCACTATCTCGGGGGAGGCTCTAGTAGTTCTTTTATGCAGTGTAATTATTGCCCATACAGACTCCGTCTTATCCATTCCATCACTTATTATTTCTTTACATTTTAGCTCATTATTGACATATAACGCCACTCCCCCACCTTTACCTTTTTTCCGGTCATTCCTAAACAGCACATACCCTTCCATACCTGTACTCCAGTCATGACTACCGTTCCACCACGTTTCGGTTATTCCTACGATATCAGGTTTCATTTCTTGGACCAGGAGCTCCAATTCCTCCATTTTGTTACCTAGGCTTCTCGCATTGGTGTATAAACATCTTACCGTATGCTGTCTATCCTTTCTCCCATTAGTTATGCAATTTGGAACGGACCCCATGCTGTCCATCCGCCCCCTCTTTCTTATGTCCAATTCCCTACCCCTACCTATGTCTGTGCTTATCTCCTCACACTCCTTTTCAGTGTTGGAATCAGGCGTGGAGATTAACTGAACATCTCCCAACCGTCTCCCCCAAGTTCCTAGTTTAAAGCCCTTTTGATGAGATGAGCCAGCCTCCCTCCCAGAAGTCTATTCCCTTCCCTACTTAGGTGAAGTCCATCCCGCGAGAACAGCTGTCTGTCCCCGAAAGCCTCCCAGTGGCCATACATCCCAAAGCCCTCCTTATAGCACCACTCCCTTAGCCAGCTATTTATCCTCACAATTCTGTCAGCCCTTTGCTGTCCTTCTCTAGGAACAGGCAGAATCCCACTAAAGATAATCTGAGCCTCCACTTCCTTAAGCGTCTTCCCCAGCCTGGCATAATCTCCCTTAATTCTCTCTAGCGAGAACCTAGCCGTGTCGTTCGTTCCTACGTGAAGGATGATCAAAGGGTTCTTACCCGCTCCTTTTAGGATCCTTTTCAACCGCAGGTCCACGTCCCTTATCTTAGCGCCCGGCAGACAGCACACCCTTCTGTTTTCAGGGTCTGCTCTGGTCACAGGCCTGTCCAACCTCCTCAGCAAGGAGTCTCCAATCACATATACCTGCCTTTGCCTGGTGACAGTACTCTGTACCAATCTATCCCCTGTTCCCTGTAGTCGTACCTCCTGTGTCTCTCTATTTTCCCTTATAGTCCCCCTAGTGCCATCCTCTATCCTACTGGGGCCCGGTATTGGTGCTGTCTCCATCAACTCCTGCCCTCTCTCTATTGGACTAGCCGCTCTTCTCTTCTTCCTCTGCCTCCCACCATCAGTTACCACCTGCTGCCTCTCTTCCTCGTTATCCAAACACTCAAACCTGTTCCTGAGTTCTATTCCCCCCTCACTAGCCCTCCTTTTCCTTGGCCTGCTCCTCACAGTCACATGCTTCCACTGATCTTGCTCTGCCCCTGACCTTCCCCCCTCACAGACCATAGCCTGTGCTCCCACCTGCACCCCTGAGCATTCCCCTTCTGCCACACCCTGCCTCTGCTCCATTAGCTGCTCGAATCCCCTTCTAAACTCTACCAGAGTATCTACCTGCATCTGCAGCCCTCTAATCTTTTCCTCTAGCAGGTCTATAAGGCGGCATTTCATGCAAACATACCTTTGTTCAGGCTCCCCAGGGAGGACCATGTACATACCACAACTGCCACATGCACTCATCTGCATTGTGTCCCCTGCTGCTTGGCTCATGGCTGCTCAGGTCTCTGCCACCAGCTTCTGGGGACACAGAG